TTAACGAGGCGGTATGCATGCGTATTAGAAACAACGAGCTCTACTCAAACTACTCAACAATGGACATCCAAGAGGGAGTATTGTAGTATTGAGTGGATGTCCATCATACACATCCTCCATCTACTATCTCCCAACCCCCTATAGATCACCATTATGATTATCATTATGCCTTGGTCTCACTCATTGCCTATAAAAGGCAATCTAGTAGCAGAGAAAAGGACACACCAAAAAACCATATAGCTTCTTCACTTCTCCCTTGTAGCCATATCATTATTTGTAGCTTGTACTACGTGGGTATTAATAAAGAAGTTACTCTTCTTATTACCTTATTGTTTATTCCGGAGTAATTATTTTATAACACTTTTTCCTTTTTCCTTGTTTATTAACTTTTCAATTTATAATAAGTGTTTCCTTTGAAATATTAAATGGAACTCACCTTGGCAATTGCTAGCATGATTTAGGGATGTAGATGAATAGAAATTGATAAGTGATGAATTGCTAAAATTGATGATGTGGCGGTAGGGACCTCGTTTAGAAATTGCTGTTCAATTTTAGGGATGAAGATGATCAATACACTAACCCAATACCATATACTCTAAACCATCAACACCTTATACAATATCGTATTTTAGGGATGGAGATGATCAATACACTAACCTAATACCATATACTCTTAACCATCAACACCTTATACAATATCGTATACCTATACGCTGATAAAATTTTTGCCCAACTAGATTACATAGGTACTTCAAAATTGAAATTATAACTTACTTTTCAAAACATAAATTAAAAATTGATACTCACTAAGTATCGAACCACAAACGTCTACTTTATTGACTAAGCAAATAAAGGACAATTAACCAATTAAGGTACATCACATTGATGACCATCTTGCATAATTTCGCTTTCTTATTAAGTGAAGGGTTAAAATGAACGATAAATATATCGCAGGGGATTGTTTCAACTTCGTCGGGGACTGAGAGAGTGGAAAAGGGGTAATTATTCTACCAAAAAAAAGGGGGAACTAACGAAGAGTTAAATTGGACGGATTGTCTTTAGCACGCCACTACCACCCAAAATCCTTCGGAGCAAAGACATGTTGGTTCAAGTCAAAGAATAAATGAAGAAAGATGAAGTTAAGAACTCTAACTAATTTTGATTCCATATGTGGCGAATCGCTAATGGCCGGGATAACCAACATGCCAAAATGTTAATGAGAACCTACTTTACACACACCAAATCATTTTATCTCGTATCGATAAATGTGTAAATAGACACGCTACAATAATTATGTCTAAATTTCATGATAATAAGGCATGATCAGCATTTATAAGCACATGTTAAGAAAATATAAAATCGAGAAAAATAAAACAACACCTACCCTCAGCCGAACCAATCAATACAATATGCTCTAGACCATCAACAATTCAACACCTTATAACCTACCCATATACCATATACTCTAAACCATCAACAACCTAATACCCTAACCAGTCAGTAATCATTACCTTTACCATAAACACCTTATACAATAATCGCATACCTATACGCTGATAAAATTTTACATTTTGATAATACTTGTCCAAGTAAAGTACACAGGTACTTCAAAAGTGAAATTCTAACTTTCGTTTCAAAACATAAATTTAAAAAATGTCCTCACTAAGTATCCAACCACAAGCCTCTAATTAGTCTACAAGAGGTTTGTTATGTCAAGAGGGGCAAACAGTGAGAGAGTGGAATAGGACCAATTAATAAAGAGTTAAATTGGGCAGATTGTTATTTACCTCGTACCGATAAATGTGTAAAGAGACACGCTACCATTTACCGAATCCCAAAAAAAAGATGGAACACATAATTATGTTTAAATTGCGTGAACGCAAGGCATGATCAGGATTTAGAAGCAGAAGCAGAAGCAGATGTAAATAAAAGCCCAACCTCTTCACAATCCGGATCATGTACACAAGCCCACTTTTGAAGAGAATTTAAAAGCCTGCAAAAAATGAATGATTAAACCCAGAAATAATACGGATCCCAGTCCAACTAGACTTTGTCCTAAACGCACCGTTAATACATAAACACAAGTTAAGGCGGCCTCTCCATCCGATTCGAATCAAATTCGGTCTTCTTCATCTTCTTCCTCAATTAGGTCGAAGACTGTGTTGCTTATTTCATCTTCAATTTGTTATAAGGAGTTCCAATAACGCTAACACATTATGACAAAGCACTGGCGACATGAACCCTAGGGTTAGCAAAATGAAGAGTTTGATGAACACAATAATAGACATGGTTGTCGTAATCATGTTAGAAAGAGATAAGTGTGTAAATTCCGGCCGGAAATAAATGGCGAAGAACAAAACGTCGATTGTGGTTACAAGGATTTGTGTTTCAAAACGATGATTATGTGGGGATTTTAGATTGAAAAGGGATCTTCTCTTCGAACGTGGATACATAGATTTGGGGTTTAAAACATGATGATGTTGGGGATTTGAGATTGGATAGGAAGCTAAATCGAATGTGGATCAAATGATAAAAGGATTGGGTTTCGAAACGATGATTTTGTTGGAGATTTCAGATTCAACGGACAGCTTATGTTCGAACTTCGAACTAAGAGGGGACGTCCCCTCCAAGACGAATGAGGGACTGGAAATTAGTTAGGGCGGCGGGTTGTATCCATAGGGTTTAACCTCTTAATCGATATAATTAAACCGGGTACAGTTAGGTTGAAGTCAAATGAAAAAAGCTTAAACGCTTCGTGATGCTTTTGGTAATTTTCCTTGCCCCCGGTTACCCGTACCCCGGATTTTGCCCCGGGCACCCTAGAACTGCCCATATATATATATATATACACGATAGAAGCCACCATATATATATATATATATATATATATATATATATGGTGACTACTTCGGTGCACTCACAAAAATGAGTGCGTTCAATGCACCCAACTCAAAAACTAGTCTTAAGGTGTTGGATTTTGAATTTTAATTTGTAGAATTAGTGTAATATGATGATATAACATATGATAACAACTAATTAGCAGATTATCGTAAGCCCTAGACCTCCAATTTTGAGTTCTATCCCTAAACCGCAAATTATAAACCCTAACCCTAACCCTAAATCTCTAAACTCTAAATCCTTCAAATTAAAGTAAATCTTTAATGATTTTTATGCAAATTCATGTGCGTTATTGTTCATCACATCATAAGTGATGATGGACATCATTTGACATAAATCACATGTTTAAAATAAGGGTTATGAAGCGAGTGCACTGAATGCACCAAAAAAAGTGAGTGCACCGAATACGCCACCATATATATATATGGTGATGACTGGTGTACGCCAGGTGTATAGTATACGTCAGGTGATCTAGCCGTTAGATGTAGTTAGATGAGCTCCGACCGATCTCAACGGCCAATTTTTGTTTTTCATTAAATCATACTTCGGGTTGGGGTTTAGAAAATCGGTGCCTGGGGTTTATCCATTAGAGGTTAGGGTATAGTATCATGCCCCAAACTCGATTTAATTCATGGTCTAGATAGAGATATCTCACTAGTATATATATATATATATATATATATGGGTCAGACTGGTGTACGTCAGGCGTATACTATACGTCAGGTACTACTAGTGAGATATCTCTATCTAGACCATGAATTAAATCGAGTTTGGGGCATGATACTATACCCTAACCTCTAATGGATAAACCCTAGGCACCGATTTTCTAAACCACAACCCGAAGTATGATTTAATGAAAAACAAAAATTGACCGTTGAGATCGGTCGGAGCTCATCTAACTACATCTAACGGCTAGATCACTATATATATAATTTTAGATAAACCGTTGTGGATGGGTCAGTTATCTAATAGACATTTATAAAGCGTGTAGCTAAGGCCCAAGAATCATACATATAACAAAAGTAATTCAGGTATCGACCAATAGTCGAAATATATATGCAAGAGTCGTTAGTACTACAAAAGGACAACCCTATAAGCAGCTAAACCTGCAAAATAAACAAACTCATAGACTACAAAACAGTAGGGGCGGACCCAGGTGGAAGGCAGGGGTATCCCCGGGGCACCCCCTAAAATTTGGGAGAAAAATCAATCAACCCCCGATAGTAGTTTGGGTACGAAAAAATGATAGTATATTTGATTTCAATTTATTACACAATAGTTATTACTTATTAGTGAACATTCTTCTATTTAAATACACTTCATTTGTCGTTGTAATTTTTTCATAAATGTAACTATAAATAACGTGTAGCCCTTATCCTCAAATTTTCGAGTGTCTACAATTAAACTCACGAACTATCCCTTATTTCCAATGTACTCTAACACACGATTATATCCTAAAGAGTTTGATCACCTTTCTGATTCTTTTCTTATAGAGGATTTTGAGAATTATTTTCATTGTGTTAACAATTATGAGTTATTTTGTGGATTAAAAGGCATTGATGAACTAATTGAGTTGATGGTGAAGACAAAATCGAATTTTTCCTATCTATGAGACTATTTGCTTTTTCAACTTTGGATTATATCAAGAACAAGTTTCAGGATCAAATAAGTTATAAGTTTGTGAATGATTAAGAGATATTGAAAGATATATTTATTGGGCACGGGAGACAGAGAGTAACTTTTAACTTATACGATACATTCTTATTTAACTTTTTTATTATTATTTAATTTAATTTTTAAAAGGAACATCCTTATATAAAATTTGTGAGTCCCCATCTGCAAAACAGCCAAATTCTTCAAACAAAAACAACCATGATCTCGAGTTTTTATGTTCTCCATCTCAAGAGTTGGCTAAAGAAGAATCTGGATCCGTAGGGGACTCCAACGTGGCAGTAGCAGAGGCATGAATCCTCATCACAGTCCATACGCCACACGCGCAGCCTGTAACTGTCACCACAAACAGACGGCGACGCTAACTAACCAAAAATAACTTCGCATTACTGTCATCATAATTTCTCCAACCCGCTAAAACCCAAAAACCAGACAAATTAAACCTCCCCTCTCCTTCCTTCCTCCTTCCATCTTTCTGTTTCAGGATACTCTTCTTCTCCCTTCCTTTCGTGCTCTATTTCCGATAATGGCTTCCTGATTCGCAATGTGGAAGTGCTCTTCTCTTTCTCCACTCTTCCAAGTTGTCTGATTCGCAAGGAAAACCTCTGGTATTGCCTCTCACTACTTGGGTTGCAACACTGGCCTTTTGCTAGGTTTTTTCCCCATTACTAATTGCTGCTTTCGAGCTCTTTGGTTTCTTGATGTTAGGGTTTCTGTTTTGCTTCTGTCCATAGCTGTGGGTTGTTGTGTTGTGTGTGATTCTTGGTCAATTTTGCTTTTGCTTCTGTAGTTTTTGTTCGTTCGAAAAAGATTTATGGGTTATGCTTGGCTACCACACCTCAAGCGTTAGATAATGAGCTCCTTCCCTCTTGCACATTTCTCCGATTCCTGTTGAATTATGGTCTGTAATGATTGATTCGGACCATTTTCTTGTCAATTCTTGGTCTTGCATACACGAAAGTTCCAGAGTTGCTTCAAAGCTAGGGAACCGCCACTCTCTACGTACTTCCCTCCTGTGGGATCTTGTTTTTCGTTTGCGTGTGGCCAATTCATTGCTTTCTGACGCTTGAGAATCTGCTCGTTACAGGATGGTATGCTCCTTTTTCGGACTGTGAATATTCAACAAAGATCAGCTGGGAAATTTTATTTGGGAACGAGTTCCTCACAATCTCTGTGAGCTTTTTGGACGAATGCTCTTGTTAGCACTCTTATCTCTCTGAATCGCAGAGTGGGTTCTTGTGGTTGGTGCTCCCTCTGGGAAGAAAAATATGACAGCAAAATCAGTGAAAGGGTCCTCGAAGTTCATGATTCCTGAGACCGGAACCAACAAGTTTGATGTAAACCATTTGGTCGCATCTGCTCTCTCATCTAAGGAGGATGCACTTAATCGTGTACTATGTGAAGGTCAAATGCTTGATACAGCAACATCAACAAGAGAAGGAAACTGTTCCGTGTGTATTTTTGATGAGTTTAGGGCTTCGGCAGATTCTTCACATTATGTCCCTGGAAACGCTGGAGCTTTCCTCAATATGAGCGGAAAAGAAACCAGCATGGTAATAGAACCAAACGGTTTGATGGAGGAAGGTTGGAGTGACATATCTGTTGGACCATTGTCTGAAAGCAATCAGCACCATGCCGTGAAAGTTAAATCTTACAGGAAGTTCTGCAAGTCAAATAGTAGTCACCGGGACCCTGGAGACTCCTATAAATGGCATTCCTTTACGGAGAGAGGGCAGGAAAATCACGGTCTTATCAGGTTGAGGAATCAGTGGACTGTTAAGGAAGCACAAAGGCGTCACCACAAAGATGTGGTCATTAGAGATCCTGAATTTTCAGAAGCATTTCCTTCCAGAGGGCCTGCTGAATCTCATTGTTGGGTTCCTGTGCATAAAACGAATCCGAGCTCTTCAGCCTACTTATCATCATGTGCTCGAGTTGGTCTCTGGAAAGCGACTAATTCTGCAAAATATTGTGTGCATTTGCGTCGCCCAGTTGAGAACTCTTCTGCTGCAAGCACAGCTAGCCATAACCAACCTGATGTGGTTCCTCATGGCTCCCATTACTCAAATACAGACTCAGCTACATCCACAAATGTACAAAAGGCTGGACCAAGGTTGACGAATCCTAGAGCCCATTCTGCAACATATAAGCCATTTGATACTTCCCTGTGCAGTAAACCAGTCTTGGGACTTAATCATGGCGGACATGCACTGAGAGACTGTGGTTCTTGTCAAGCAACAGCTATCAAGTGGGTCCCTGTTGCTGCCAAAACATCCAAGATTCTGCAGAAAGTTCATCCTGGTATAACATTTACTTCTCACATAAAGAAGAAATTTTCTAGCAATGGGACTGCTAAGCAGGATTATGCCGAAGAGGCGTTCTGTCCACAGGCCACTTTAATTGACTGCGAAATCTCATATGTGATTCCTTCTAAGAAGGAACCTTGTGAAGAAAGTAGACCTCCAAACTCTGAGGAAATTCCAGTTGAAAAACAGAATAGTTCTAAGAAAGATGAAGCAAGTTTTGATCAATATGTTGAAAAACTGAAAGAAACTGATGAATTTGTTGGATCACGAGCAGTGATGGAAGCTCTAACTGCAGCTTATAAACTGCAACTATTGTCTGGCATCATCCAGTTCACTATTGGATATCCACTTGCGGACTTTGAAACGTTTCTCAATGCTTCATGTCCAGCTATCACTGCATCTTTCGTGTGTGAGAAATTTGCTGTGTGCTCAAGTAATCACCAATCAAGTCGATGTGTTTGTGAACATCAGATACAAGATGTATCACTTTCTGCTCTTTGGGACTGGTATGAAAATCCTGGAAGTTATGGGTTGAAAGTCAGGATAGAAGCTCGTCAAGATCTAAATGGTTTCATGGATGAGAAAACACCATTTGATGCACATTTTGTTCCTTCGTTATCGGCTGTTCAATTGTTTGGGTACCCTGTACACTCAAATTCCGAAGGTAACAATGAAGGAGCTGTCAGTTTTGAGATGAAAGACAAGGGAGATGTCGAATGGCATTCTTCTTCCCCTAGAAGCACACTTCTGATGGATTCACTGGACAGATGTGGAATGGGTCATTTGTCATTGGATAATGAAAACCTAAGTTCGGTTTCTTCACCATCCTGCTCAAGCAATTCAGAACTCCTGTTCGAATTTTTTGAATCAGAACAACCATATAATCGAAAACCTCTTCACCTAAAGTAAGTTCATCTTGGCTCATGATTGTTCTTGGTACAAATTTGAAAACTTTATGTTGGTGGCGTGGTACTTGTAAAAGTTTTTCATGATAGTATTTCCTGAATTGATTACAGTAATTTCATGAGAATAGAGAAATTGAATCGACTTGCATACCCAGTGAGAATGAAATTGAATCTTAATAGCTTATTGCAATGGCAATTGACTTGAGCGTTTGATTCTTTTGCTAAAAGACCTTTTACGCTGTACAAATTTTGCAATCTGACAATGCTTGCTGTACTTGGGAAAGGTAGAATAATGAGCAAAATTGCAGCCTGATCTTGTTTTCAATTGTTGCAGAATATTGGAGCTTTCAGATTCTGGAACTCCTAATCTTCAAGTATATGGTGATCCGAAGAAGCTAGTATCATTGACACTGAATGAAATACACCCTGCCTCGTGGTTTGCACTCCTGAAAACTGGATTCTATACATTTTAATTTTTATTTCAGGTTCTTAACTTGTGGTACTTACAGTATTTACAACTAATATGGCATTCAGGTTCTCAGTTGCATGGTATCCTATATGCCGAATTCCAGAGGGGAAATTGCGTGCATCATTTTTGACATACCATTCCTTTGGCCATTCAGTCAAGAAAAAAGACATTACGGCTGATCTCTCTCCCAATAAATCGACTCCCCTAACTAGCTTCCCAGCAATAGGGTTACAAAGCTATAACACACAGGTACCTGTCGATACCACACTTTCTCAAACTTGGGTTTCGTAGCAAGGGAATTTTGGTTACACGGTCAACTTCCCAGAACAGAACATCTTTGCTTCTAATTTCTTTTCTGTACTAACATGTCAGCTTTATCTCTAGGGAGAATGCTGGTTTGATATCAGAAGGCAAAAGGAATCCTCTACTGGAAAGCAATCACTTGGTGATTCTGAAATTCTCAACAGAAGACTCCAAACTCTGCAATTGAATGCGTCACTTCTTGCCAGAGGCTCTGTCAGTAAAGATAATATCAAGGTGGACAATGTTCAGCCAGATTATGAGTTCTTCGTTTCCAGGAAGCGCTGAAGAATGGATGAAAATTGGAGGCAGATTTAGGTCGACCTTTCACCATAAAGATAAACAAAGTCAGTAAGTCTCACATAGTTTCTAGATGTGCAGTTAGTTCCCCTACTGGCCAATGAGTTCCATCCATGTGGTTTTTGTGCAGACGTATGTGACACAGTACAGTGTTTTAGACAGAATCCTCTCCTCTCTCAATTGTGTAGTCTAATTCTGGTGTATATAGCTTATTGTTGAACCACCATACTATATGTCATTGATCTAAATGTTGTGCCCTTGCACTGTTCAACGTGGAATGTTCATTCATAGTGACTTTAGACTTACCTGTCCATTTGATTTGATCCGAGAATCCTATTATCAACCAAAGCCAATCATAGAAGTATATATATCTAAGGGTACGCTTGAAAAAATGACTAAGCTAGAGCAACTAATCTAGGGACATAAACATAAGAGATTGCGATGATACGTTTGAGAGATGCATCTTCTTCCTTTCTTGTACAATCCACCCGACCCGTCCATCTGGAATCTATAGTCAAGAATCCATTCCTCTTGTTTCGCTTGACCAACAGTTGAATTTGGATACAAATACAATCCATCTCTCCATGAACTGAGTGGCAGAATACACCTCCACAATTCACTAGTCTAAGTGTCTAACCGGCTCTAGGTACCTGTGGACGAAGTGCTACTCTTCGTACGAGATGAAGCAGCAGAAGCATTGCTCTGTGTCTGCGAGCTCTGTGTGGTGGTTGACAATTCATCCCTGAAGAAAACAACATTCTCTGGGTTATCCTCAAACACCCTGAGAGATCTAGGGAAAGGCGGCAGGTCAACGGTCAACATCCCCTCTAGAACCTGAACCACCTGACCCATAGAAGGCCTCTGGTGTTCTTCATCTTGAATACACCAGAAGGCAAGATTGCACACTCTCCGAACCTCTTCCAATTCAGCATTCCCCTCCAACCTGGGATCCACCAATGTCAGAACATCGCCACCAGAATCAATAACCCTCGCAGCCCAGCTGGGGAAGAATCTCAACTTCCCATCTCCCAGTTGCTCAGTGTTTCTCCTCCCAGAAATAAACTCGAACAGCATCATTCCGTAACTGTAAACATCAGCTTTAGCAGTTACAGCCACTCCCGAGATCCACTCCGGCGCGAGATACCCTCTAGTGCCTCTCATGGTCGTCAGGACCCTGCTGAAATCCCGACCCACCAGCTTGGCCAGCCCAAAGTCTGCAACTTTGGGGCAGAATGCGGAATCCAGAAGGATGTTTTCTGGCTTGATGTCACAATGGATTATACAATCCCTGCATTTCTCATGAAGATAAAACAGCCCTCTTGCTGTTCCCAGAGCTATGTTGTACCTTGTTTCCCAGTCAAGAGCTTTAGAGCCTTCTGAGAAGAAGAGGTGGTGATCGAGAGAAGAATTCGGCATGAAATCGTAGACCAAGAGCTTTTTATCAGCGCCTTCTGAACAGAACCCGCGAAGGCGGACGAGGTTAACGTGCTGGATTGTCCCAATGGTGCTGACTTCAGTTCTGAATTGCTTCTCACCTTGGTTAATTGATTCCAGCTTCTTCACGGCTATGGCGGTCGAATCGGGTAACATCCCTTTGAAAACTGAACCAAACCCTCCTCCTCCGAGCTTCTCCGAGAAATTCTTGGTCGCGCTCTGTAAATCTCTGTAGGTAAAAGCCATTAGCGAGCCTTCCATCGCTTTCCCTGGCTTCACCATTCTCCTTCTCCTCCTCCTCCTAAGCACTATGAACACAACCAAACCAACAAATCCCAGAAACACAATCGAGCCCACAACGGCACCAATCACGATTCCGTTTTTATTCTTGGAGCTCGAAAACTCGGATCGTGCAAGCCTGACGAAGATGGTTTTCCCACTCGCGGTAGCGTCCGATTGCAGATTTAAGAGATCCCCGTACCAAACAGAGCACTGATTACCATCGTAGGAATAAGCAGAGCAAGAACAGTTGCCCAAACAAGCCGCTTCACAATCTTGCGAACTCGCCACCGATCCCACCACCGTCTGCGGGTTATCCGGCTGCCCCACGTTGTAATTCGGCCAAAACCCATCTCGATTCCGGTTCGAATCGGTTGAATTGCTGCCGTTCTCGCACTGCATGCTCGCCCTCCTGGCGCACCCTCCGTAAAAAACCCCGGATTTATAATCCGCCTCCGATTTGGGGACGAAGCCGTTCAAACAACGGCAGAACGGCTGCCCCTGCGCCGTACAGCTCCCGAACGCGCCGCAGTAGCCGTAGACTTCGCACTGAGTTCTGGGCTGCGACCAGAACAGATTCCATTGCTTTGTCGAGTCAAGCCACGAGAGCTGCTGAATCTGGCCGCCGACGTCCATCACGAATCGGGAAATTAGGGATTGATTGTACATCGAGTAAGTGAAGTAGCTCTCGTTCACGTTATCAATATACGAGAAATTGTAGATGAAATTGAGCCTCATCTCCGGTACCAAGCTGAAAATCCGGCCGTCCCACACCCCGCTGGTCCAGTAATTCTTGGTCAAATTCCAGAGGATGAAGTACTGACTGGTTCCATTCGGGTCGAGTTCTAAGGAAAACGGGCCGGGCGATGGATCCTCGTTGTTCCTCCAGGAAGTCAGAAGCGTGGTCTGCCTCGTGACCTTGTTGAGCCCAATTTTGCCTCCCGGAAGCCACGTGTCCGCCGGATTGTCGAAGCTCTGCCACCGCGGCTTGGTTAAACTTGAACTCGAACCAGACCCGGCCGGGAGTAAAACGAGGTTTCCCTGGTCGAGGAGTACGGCGTCGACGGGAGCGGCGGAGGAGTTCAGCCCCGTTGACCAAATGGGAACCTTGGATTCGTTGAAGAGGACCAAGTTCCCTCCGGAGATTCGGAGCTCCGACGAGAACCTGTCGGAAACAGGGGTTGCTCTGTTTGCTACCCAGACTATGGTTTGTTGGGAGACCAGCTTGTAGTTGTACCAGATTCCGATGTAGTAGTTGGTGGAGTTGACCGTCGGGCGGAAGAATCCGAGCACGAAGACGTCTCCAGCGGAGTTGATGGTTTGGTCGCCGGAGAGAGACCGGTTGGCGGTGATTCTGTCGGCTCCACTGGATAGATGGGCCAGTAAGGAGAAGGAAAAGAAGAAGAAGAAGAAGAAGAAGGAGAGTGGCGCCATGGCTTATTTGCTTTCAGGTGGATAAAGGTCGGAGCTTTTTGGGTTTCTCCGGTGAACCCACGAGTTTCAAAAGAGTAGAGATAAATGGGTTGTGAAGAAGTGGGAAGAGAACAGAGGTCCCATTGTTGGATGGAAAATTGAACAGAGAGGAGAGACCTGCTCTTCCTACCCGTGTGTCAATTGTCAAAGCTTCAAAAGTTGAGACTGGAAACGGCTGAATTTGTCATTTCCCTCTGCTCTCCTTTCTTATTTTATTTTATGTGTTTTTTTCGGTTAGCTGTACCGGCTGCTGCACTGTTATTAATTTTGTATTAACTGGTCCACATGTGTTGGGTGGCACTGAGATTTAATTCCTAAATTATATTTAGCGCTTGTACAGTAAGTAGGAAGTTGTTCTCCTCAGCAAATCATAGAATCTGGAAATATTGCTTCCTCTCTTTCATTTCTTTTGTCTAATTGTCTTCTCTTCCTTTGCTACTTTGAAACAATGTTGTCAGAAATTTACAGTCTGTAAATTCTGTACGGGTGGATTGGATGAGGTTTTATACAAAAAAAAATTGAGTTAGTTTTGGATTATGATTCGTTCTAATATGAGAAGTTGAGACAATTTAAATTGTTACTCTCATCAATTTAGCAATTTGTTATGTGTCAAAATATTGTGATTTTTTATATTTTCAAACGAGATATTTTAATAAGGATTAGACTCCATAACCATTGATTATGCACAAATACATAATTATATCGTGCCTCTTAATTTTAAGTGTAGTTAGATCTAATATTTGAGATTAAAATACTTTCTATGTTTCATAGTTTTGTAATCGATTTGAATCTTCTTTCTTTTAACTTGAGTTCCAGATTATTTTTCAATATAGAACGAGTTCGTTGTAATCTAAAAAATATATTCATTTTTTAATATATTTCAAGATAAAATATTTTATACAATCCATTACCACCTTGATATCACTCTGTAACACCTTTATTTTAACTCAAACTTTGAAAAACTTCGCATAGAGGAACGTGTTTATCGTGATCTGTTGTGATTTATAAATTCTATTGGGTTCTTTTAACTTGAGTTCCAGATTATTTTTCAATATAGAACGAGTTCGTTGTAATCTAAAAAATATATTCATTTTTTAATATATTTCAAGATAAAATATTTTATACAATCCATTACCACCTTGATATCACTCTGTAACACCTTTATTTTAACTCAAACTTTGAAAAACTTCGCATAGAGGAACGTGTTTATCGTGATCTATTGTGATTTATAAATTCCATTGGGGGGATTTCATGAATAAATAGACCATCTTAAATCACCTTGGTATAGGATGGTAACTGGTGGTAGACATTTATGAAATGTGGTAAATGGCGATTAGTATATCTCCAGTATCATATACTACGGGTTTTTTTTTTTTTTTGACAAAGGAGTATCTTTACTGCACTTTAACTAATCGGTTACAAAGAGAGACAAAGAACCAACATTCTGGTTCAACAAGAGAAAGGCCAAGGGAGCTTGGTTACAATCAAACCATGAAAAGCAAAAGCAACAACAGAGAGCACAACACAGAATGAAAGCAGCCACCCATCCGAACAAGACCCTTGAAAGAGAACAGAACATCAGAAATCTCTCTTGCAAACAACCAATTAGAATGCAACAAGATCTAAATCAGTTTGTCCGATCATATCGAAATCCATGGCAATTGATCACATCAAACCATAAGCCGCCTCCTGAGGATAACTCAAAGGCACCCATCACAGTGAATCCTAGAAACAAGATTGCATGGCGGTGGATGAGGATATGAAACGGATTGCTCCAAACTGAAAAGGCAGAGGAAGCTGAGGCAGAGACATCAGGTTTGAAGCAGAGGAGAAGGTCCCAAGGGAGCCACAAATCTCCATGGAGAACACCGATACCCAACCGCAACCACCGGAGAAGACCCAACCCTCCATGATCCGACGACTCACCCAACAACACAGACACAAAGGGAAGGTCGGATTGGGAAAGAAGAGAATGGCTTCACCAAAATATGAGACCACCAACCTGGGAAAAACACCACCATCCAGATTTGGAACATGCACCCAAATTGCAAACTCCAGATCCTACAACGAGCAAACCTAGAACAGGAGAAACCAAGAACCGAAGAAAGAGACAAAGCTCGCCGGGAAAAGAAGAGACAAAGCTCGACTGGAAAGGAAGCTGAAAGGCCACAACGGCAGGAGAAAAACTGGAATCCGAAGGAAAATCACCTAGAATAAAGCTAGGAGAAGCATGCGCACAAAGGGGAGAAAAACAAGAGCAAAGGAGGGGATTGAGTTGCCGCCGGTCACCAAAAGGAGTCGGCGGCAGCCCCTGGAAACTTGAGGAAATGGGACCGAGAATAGAGAGGGCAGAGAAAAGGGTTTCAAATTAAAGTAAGAGAGAGGCTATCTTATTCTATACTATGATCAATGTAGTCAAAAGCGAATTTCTAAGTAGAAACGTTTTTGGGATTTAGAAGCATAAAATGTACATTTTTTAAGTTTTAAAACGGAGTTTTTAACTACATAAGTTATAAAAACTAAAATTTTGTGTAGAAGCGTTTTAGTGACCTAGAAACGTAAAATCGTAAGTTTTTAAGTTTTAAAGCGCGATTTTGACTACATTGACTATGATATATTCATATCACCATGGCACACTTCCACATCATCATGGTAGAATCTTACTAGTCGTTTGCTACGGGAATTTGAAAATTGATGGTTCTGGTAAAACTTGTGTTAGGATATGACTTGAATTTGATTTGGTTTTGTTTTGTGTTTTGGGCCTATTCTGTTTGGGTTTGTGTTTGGGCTTTGTTTGACCTTTTCCTTGTATGTTTGGGAAAAGATATTTTGTTTTCTGTTTGGGATTAGGAGAAGAGTTCTATAAATACTCTTCATCACCCTAGTCTGTAGTAAGGTCAGTCGGGTTAGTTTATTTGGTTTGTCCGTTTGGAATTTGGTTTGTAACCTGTACTCTCCTCAAATTAGTGAAATTTGTCTCCTCTGCCCGTGGATTAGCTAGCACACATTGTGTTAGTGAACCACGTTAAATTTGTGTTCGTTCGTTTTGATTTGGATTATCGATTGCACGCTTCTGTTCCGACAAGTGGTATCAGAGCCTGGTTCGGTGCGAGGTGGTGGACGTTAGTTTGGTGGACCCTCATTCGGTGGCCTCGGGATTTGAGATCTGCGTCTGGTTTGGTGGTTCCACGAGAGATCCACGTTTGGGCTACATCTGGCTTGGCGGATCTAGGAGAGATCCTCTTGGGAAAATCCTTATACCGAGAAGCCCATCGGTACAAGGTGTCTGGCAGATCAAGATAATCGCTGAGGTGAGGACACGATGTTCGTGGTCCTTGTCTTGAGGGGAGGATTGTTATGGGGCAATCCAAGTACCACATCGGTAATACAAGGGAAGGAACCCTTGTATATTAGAGTCCACCTAGCCAATTAGTACGAGGCCTTTTGGGGAGGACACCCAAGAGTAAAACCGTGCGGGCTTGGCCCAAAGCGGACAATATCGTACTAATGAGCAACCCGGTTATGACAATCCTCCCCTCAAGACAAGGACCACGAACTTCGTGTCCTCACCTCAGCGATTATCTTGATCCGACAGACACCTTGTATCGATGGGCTTCTCGTTACAAGGATATTTCCAGATGCAGAACTCTCTTTGATCTGCTTTCCTGCTTTCCAGACGCGGACCTCTCTTTGATCCGCCAAGCCCAGACGTGGATCTCTCCTGGATCCACCAAATAGCCCAGACGTAGAACTCTCTTTGATCTACTTCCCAAATGCGGAACTCTCTTTGATCCGCCAAAGCCCAAACGTGGATCTTTCGTGGATCCACCAAACAGATGCGAATCACAAATCCCGAGGCCACCGAATGAGGGTCCACCAAACTGACGTCCACCGCCCCGGTTCCGCCGAACCAGGCTCTGATACCACTTGTCATAACCGGGTTGCTCATTAGTACGATATTGTCCGCTTTGGGCCAAGCCCGCACGGTTTTACTCTTGGGTGTCCTCCCCAAAAGGTCTCGTACTAATGAGCTTGGTGGACACTAATATACAAGGGTTCCTTCCTTTGTATTACCGATGTGGTACTTGGATTGTACCATAACAACTTGGTTTTTGTAAAACCATGGTTATATGAGAGTTTTGGGTTCATTAAGGACTTGAAAAACACCATTGTTTATTTCATAGATTTCATGGTAGATTTGGTTAATCAGATTTGTATATATGAAGTGAAATCGACTTATATTGTCATCAATTGTATTAAAAGAGAAAGATAATAGGAGAAGTAGGTTGCTCATAACTGATGGATTTCAAAGTCTATGATTAATTCTCACCTAAAGTGTTGGAATTTTTAAATTTTTGGGGTCCACGAATTTGGACCCTTAAAGTCCGTGGGTCCGCAAATTTGTTGCTCATATGTAGATGAAGCAAACAATGCAGTTTGGACAAAATTCATGGTATAGTCTAGTAATATATGCGACTACTAAGAATCCGTTCTATCTACTTTTCAAACTCTCTACCTTCTCTCTACATTTTCTCCTCCATTACGTCTCCTAAGAGTGCCGTCGGCACCTCCGGGTGGCTGGTGGCAAACCATCTGTCTCATTTCCAGCTTTATTTTCCATGTTTCCAGCCTTTGTTTAGGCATTTTCCAGCCCACAATGGCTTTCTTTCCATTTCTCTAAGTGGAACCTCCACAAACCACCCCGTCGATGGTCTTTTTGTCAAATCTAATCTGTTTTCCTACAGATCCTTGATTTAGGTGTGGTTTCAGAGTGAGCTAAGGCATTTTGCTCTTTGGTTTGCTTTCTTTCTTCAAGGTTTATATAGTTCTCCTCCTTGCTTTACCCTTGTCGTGTGGTGATTCGGTGGAACCTTGATCTTCCTTTGTGAGATTTCGACTTCTCTTTCTTGGGGACTAAAAGTAGGGTTGTCGTTTTTGCATTTGAATGCTTGCTTGCGGGTGTGTTCAGCTCAAATGATGTATGTATTTTATGTCTCCTCTTTCATTTTTCAGAACGGGCTGCTTGTGGCTCTGTCTGGGCTTTGTTTCCATGTGTGGCATCTTCTTCTCAGAATTCGGTGGTGACGGCTCAGAGCTTGTGCGGTGGAATGAA